GGTATCGATGTCAGACTGACTGGCCTGTAATTTCCCGGATCTCCTCTGGAACCCTTTTTAAAGATGGGAGTGACATTAGCTACCTTCCAGTCCTCAGGAATGGAGGCAGATTTTAAGGAAAGATTACATATTTTTGTCAGGCGATCCACAAGTACACATTTGAGTTCTTTCAGTACTCTCGGATGTATGCCATCCAGGCCTGGTGATTTATCAGTTTTTAAATTGTCTGTATTGTCTTGGTAGAATGTACTTGCACCATGAGTTGACTCTAGGCTCTTAAGTTTTACAGGCAGTGAAATTTAAAACACAAAAATATCACAGCATTAATACTCTGAACTTTCAACATACAGTTTAGAATGTGATAGGAAAAAATGTACAGTGACTCAGTTCTGCAGCTTACTATTTCTGGTAAAACTTACTGAGCCTTATGATGCAAGTAGAGTCAGACAAGATAATGACAAAGGCCTTTGTTTTTCAGCATGAGTAGTTTTGATGTGGACTTCTGATACAGGAAATCAGTGTATAGAAGGTGGTGATGTGTCTGTTGGGAGACCTGTTTATATTGCCTCTTGTATTTTCACATTTCAAATACAGAAATGTTTAAGAGAGCCAGTCTGGTGTAGTGGTTAAGTGTGCGGACTCTAATCTGGGAGAACCGGGTTTGATTCCCCGCTTCTCCACTTGCACCTGCTTATGTGACCTTGGGTCAGTCACAAGCTCTGGCACAGTTGTTCCTGAAATAGCAGTTTGTGTCAGAGTTCTCTCAGCCCCACCCACCTCACAGGGTGTCTGTTGTGGGGAGGGGAAGGGAAAGGAGTTTGTAAGCCGCTCTGAGACTCCAAGTGAAGGGCGGGGTATAAATCCAATCTCCTCTTCTTCTTCTTCTTCTTAAGCTTTTTTGCAGTTTTATCAAGAGGCATTCAGCATTGCAGAGAACCACCACAAGAATAAAAGAAAGCTGCTTATCTCTATTTTGGTTAACTAGACTCCCCAAACGCTGTTTATTTTCCAGTATTTTATACACAGAATTGTTAAAGTGGTACTGATGGATGTGTTTCAAAGCCTATTTTGAATGGAGAACTACAACAAAGTAAAAGCAATGCCTTTATTTACTTCATTTATATTCCACCTTTCTCCCAAAGGGGAACCGAAGTAGCTTACATACTTGTCCTTAGTTTTAACCTCAAACAACCCTGTGAGGTCAGTTAGGCTAAGAGTGTGTGACTGGCCCAAGGTCACCCAGGGTTTCAAACCATGGTCTCCCAGATCCTAGTCCAACACCATAGCCATCAGGGGTGTGCACACACACACACAAAAATACACTGGTATTTTTCAGGTTCAGGTATATTGAACCTGAAAAATATTGGTATTTCCTGATATTCCCGAATCCCAATATTGCTATGGTATTGGGAATCAGGAAATATTCAGGATTGCTCCATCATACCCTATGTGGACCATTATAGTCAGTGGTCCCCAAAGGGTATAATGGATAATTGATCCAGGGCTATCTGGGGCTGGCGGGGCTGTTTTTTAGGTAGAGGCGCCAGATTTGCAGCATAGCTGCTGGAGTCTCAAAAAACAAGCAAACAACCCCCCCTCCCCCAAGTTTCAAAGAGATTTGAACAGGAGGTCCAATTCTGTGGACCCCAGAAGAAGGTGCCCCCATCCTCCATTGTTTCCAATGGAGGGGGAAAGGCATTTAAAGGGTCCCTTTAAGTGCCTTCTCCAAGCCATTGGGCAAATTGCGCTGTGGAGACTGAACTCCAAAGGCGTTTAAACTTCAAATGTGTTGTGGAAAGTTCACTCCAAAGGCATTTAAAGGGACTGAGAGCCCTTTAAATGCCCTGTAACTGTGGCTATCCAGTGGTCCCAAAAAATTCCGAATATTTTTTCAGCTCGGTTTATACTGAGTGTATCCCTAATAGCCACTATAGCACACTGGCTCTCAAAACAATCACAATAAGAAGTCATGTTGCAGGAGTTTTTTTCTGTGTAGGCATAAACAGGGATTTTAATGTCTAAAAAAACGAACATTTGGAAAATGTGAAGGCATTTTTGCGATTGCTATCAATAGGGAATACTAATTATCTTGGAGTCTAGGATACTATTCTGCAAAAAGGTAAACATTTTGTCTTAATTCAGTGAGTAAAATACCTGGGTCTTTGGAGTGGATTGTAGGGGCCATTGTCACTTTAGTCTTGTTTAATCTACACTGGCTCTGAAATTGCTTCTGGGTGCAATTAAGGGTGCTGGAGTTGATCTTCAGAGCTCTATATAGCTTGGGTCCCCCATAAAGATTGTCTGCTCCCACATGATCCTGCCTGACCATTACAAACATCTTTCGGGGAGCCCGTGTCATCTGAGGCAAGGCAGGATGGTAACCTAAGAAAGGGCCTTTTTGGTCATTGTCTATCATTGTCTTCTATCAGCAGGTGGAAGGCTTGTTTGTTTCATTTGGTGTTACCTTACTGACCATTCTTCCTATTCATTTATATGTGTGTATTGTTTTAAAAGTTCATTTTCAGTGTCTTTTTAAAAGTTCACCACCTTGAGGGTTGAAAGGCAGTATAAAAATATTTTAAATAAATAAAAAGGAACAATTAGGACTTATAAACATTAACTGAATTTTTACCTCTGACAATTTCTCATTCTTTTTGATCATGAGTACATAACAGTTTATTTAAATACTAGTACTCTACTGCCGTTTACAGGTGATAATTAAAGCATTACAGGTTAAAATAAAATTCCCCCAAATAATTCCCTCCCCCCAAAGATACCTGCCATACATACCCTGTCAAAAGCTTATGTAAACAAACAAACCTTGCAAAAATTGCTACTTAATATAACTAATTTTGCAAGTTAGAATGTAAGCCTTCCTGGGAAGCTTTCATTGTGATGAAAATATCCCCAAATCCTGAGATTTCAGTTTACATCTGATGGGTAAAATCTGATTTGTAATTCTCAAAGGAAGGGTAGCAGATGAGTTTCAAAACTTGTTAATGATTATTTTTTTTAACATTTGGTTGACGGTCAGAGGTTTCATTTTACTAAATGATGAGTATTCCAGCTGAAGAGACTCCTTGTACCCAACTCCTGATTGTTAAGCCACTTTTTCAATCAAATTGTCAAGTTATACTTGAGAACATGCAGTCAAGTTACACTTTAGAACATTGGGGTTTTTTGGTACCATTTTAATTCTTGGAAGAAGTGATCAGAAGTAAAACAATGTGTATGTTGCGTGAATCAGTCTTTAGCTTCTGATTTGTGCTTGCAGCCATTGTGTTTGGATCCTAAGGTGCTCTTCAGCGGATGGAAGTGTGCTGTGATGGCAGGCTGCTGTTTAACAAAGCATGGCATGACTTTGGTCAAATGGCCTTTGTTGGAAGTATACTCCTCTCATACTAAGTTTTCCATCTTACTGGTTTGATTTAAACGTTGCTGCTTAATGTCTTCTACCTGGATATACTTACAGCTTGACTATTTTGTAAATACTTTTGTGTTAAAAGTAACAACTGCTGATTTAAATGTGCTCAGACAGTTCATGTGTGTTTGTATTTTTTCAATAGCTGAGGTTAAGAAGGAACCAGATACTGTTACTTCAGATGATGTATTGATTGTTTATGAATTAACACCCACTCCTGAACAAAGAGTTCTTGCAGACTCCCTTAGATTACCACCAACATTCTTCTGCTACAAGAACAAACCTGGCTATCTAAGTAGTGATGATGATGATGGTAAGTAGCTTTCCAGAAAAATAATCTTTCATGTTGCAGGATGGTATTAAAAATGAAAATCTGTCCCTGTAAGTTCAGACAGACTTTTCTTCTTTTATGTCCACTGTGTAATAATTCTGCCCTTGGTGATTACTAGGGCTTCTGTTTCTGACCCTAACTTGTCATGGAGAACAAGATAAAACATAGTAAAGATGTTTGAATGGTTGCTGTTGTTGATATGAATTGCTGTTCCCTAACCATCCCACTGTTCTAGGTTGGGCCTGTATTTTTACCTTTCTCAGTTATGGAAAATGGCAGCATTCCATGTCCCTGCCTTTCCTTTATGTCACTACTGGCTTGTATCAGATATGGCTTCTATAAAGTTTAAAGCTGTGCTTGCTTGCGAAATGCTTTTACTGTTAACTTCTTTGGCAACACTATTCTCAACTCTTGATCCTGAAATAATCTTCTTGGCTTTCAGAAATTGGTTATAGCATCTATCTTACCATTCTGTATATGGAACATGAGAACTCTGCTTCATCCTTCTCTTTTCCTGCAGCAGTTTCTGACTATATGGAACATGAGAACTCTGCTTCATCCTCTTTTCCTGCAGCAGTTTCCGACTTGGAAAAATCATTGTCATGGTCACAGGACTCACGTGGAGAAATAGCTATGTGGGTTGGGGTGGTTCTTTGTGTGCTGGAGTGAAGTATTGCTCTTCATTCCTATTCCATAAATGCAGCTCTAATGAGGAAAGGGGTTGATTTAATCCTATTACCTATCCTCATGACAGCCCATCAACCCACATGGCTGTTCCCTTGCATGAATCCCACAGCCCCAGAAATTATCTTTTTTAGGTCCTAAGGGAGCTGCAGTAACAAAGAGGAACTCTTTGCCTTCTTTTTGTGGGTGGTTGAATACACATCACAGTCTGTTTCTGAAGAAGACTTCTTTTAAACTATGAATTGATTGATTTACGTTAAGCCTGACTGGCAGCACCTTGTCTTCAGTTCTAACTAATGTTAAGTTTTGTTGCTGTCAGCTGGTCTTCAGCATAACAAGTTCTGGGTTGGAACAGTGATGACTGCTGTATCTTATGTTTTGAGACCTTGGAGCACAAGTGAATTGGGGGGAGGGTTCCAGTATCGCTAATGGATTGTTGAAATGTGTTTGACTAGCTTTTCCTTTAATTTGTAGCAGTAGGCTTGAATTTGTGCAGGTCAGTCAGTAGTAATTAATGCCACAGTATCCCACTTCTTTTGTATTTCAGATGAGGACTATGAAACAGCAGTGAAGAATCTTAATGGAAAGTTGTATCCTAATGAACCTAAAGAACCCACAAGGTCAAAGGAAACCGATGGAGGTACAGCACATTGATTGGGAAGAGTTTTGTAACACTGAGCTTTAAGGGGTGTAATTCTCGATTCCAAATTTACAGGAGTTTACAGTAATGTGCATATTTATTTGTGTTTACTGTATAATATGCAGAGCATCATAGAATAATAAGAAACCAAATAATTAGTGAAAGGAAATCCAAGTTTGTTGTGACTTTTGTTGCAGAAGTGTGCATAAAGCTAATGAGATTACTGCCTTAAGCATCTATCAGAAAAAAGTTTTCATGTACATGTGTTATAATTTGTGTGTGTGTGTGTATAAATATATACATACACCCACACACTCTGCTGTGCTCTCATGTTTCATGAGACCCCTGCAGTACCATAATGCATGCTGAGAGTCTTGCTACAAACACGACATTTATAATCTACAAAATTATCTATTACATTTTTATCCCATTCTTCAGGGAGGTTGGGGGGTGTAGGATACAAGGTTCTCCCCTCCTCCACTTTATCTTCACAACAGCTCTGAGGTTATACTAGGCTTGGAGGCAGTGACTAGCCCAAGATCAGCTGGTGAGTTTGATGGCAGAGTGGGGATTTGAATTTGACTCTCCTAGCTTGCAGTTTGGCAGTGACAACTGCATCACACTGCCACTGAAGGTGCTGGTTAACAACTAAAGACCAAAAAGGTAAATGTTGGTGCAACATTTAATAGAAAACAATGTGGTCTTAAAAGATTTCAAAACCTCTTCTGTCTATCTTCAAGTTCCTGATCCATGGTGTTCTACTTGATGATCCAGCCAGCTGTTTTTTTGCTCAGTCTTGTCCAATTCTCCTTACTGCAGTCCCTATCCCACATGACTTGGGTAGTCACAGAAATCTCCCTTCTTACTAGTGGAAAACTGATTGAATCCAGCAGGTACACTGCTGTTTACTTTCTCTGTGTCTTGGCCATTTCCACTAAGCTTTTTCCTGTTTGCAGAGTTCCTGTTGTAGGGGTTTCTCCCAGCTTATTACAGACCTTTAACTTCTGAAGTCAGACAGCTGAATCAAATGTGCACATTTCACATCGGTGAAGGAAAGTGTGTAAATGTTCTATGGTATCAGAACAGCTCAGCCACTGACTTGGGAGCTTCATTAGATTTCATTTTAGAACAGCACTATAGAGATCATCCAAATTATTTTTCAAAATGGACATGAGCCTGGAATTGTTACAGGAATGGTTTTTAATAAACAGATCTGCCTAACCTTTTCAGGAACAATTTTGATGCTTTACTTCTACTTTACTGTTCATTCTTTTCGGTAAAATCTCAGGTGTTCTCCCTTTAGGTATCACAAGAGAAAATGAGGCAGAAAGTGGAAGTGATTGTGTTCTAGTCTGGGAAAAGAAACCGACTCCTGAAGAAAAGGCTAAAGCAGAGACACTGAAGCTTCCTCCAACATTTCTCTGTGGTATTAGCAGTGATACTGAAGAAGACAATGACAACTTGGAAGACTTTCAAACAGAACTTAAAAAAATTCAAGAAACTAAAGTAGGTAACAAGGTTTGATCTTAAATATCCCTGCAAGTGAATATACTTATAAGGTTGGATCCCACCACAGGTTTCCATGAATGGAAAACAGGGCAATTTTTGATCATTCCTTTCCTCCTGCTGCATACCTCCAACTCCTGCTTATGCTGTTCCTTAGAATCCCTTGTATGTTTTGGGCAGCAGCAGGAGAAGGGAGTAGGAAGGTCAGCTGCACTGATAAATCCCTTCTGTCAGCAGAAATGTTCTGAAGGGTCAGTAAACGTGGCAAATAATCCTTCTGTGTCCCTGGTCTTCCCCCATCCTCCTTTATCTTTGGATTTAGTTTGTAAACTACAAAATGTGGGGCTTTATCTGTACAAAATGCTAAGGTGCAAATGAGCTTGAATTTCCCCCTCTTTGGCTCATCAGGAATTGTCACAGCTGGTAACGGGCTGTTGAATACATAGAGAGGCACAGAATTAAATTTCTCATGATGTGACTTACAAAGATTTGCTCATGCTCATGGTCTGGTTAATTTCATATGTAAGCTCAGGAAGGTGTGTTGATTCAGACCACATTGGCAGTGATTCTGGACTCTACTTTTGTCTGCTCTAGAGTCATGCTCATGGTCTGGTTAATTTCATATGTCTGCTCTAGAGCATGTGGCTAGGGTTCGTTTGCGTGGGCTATAAATTAGCTCAAACTGTTTGGCCTGTGGGATTTTTTTTTCCGGTAATGCACTAGCTGTCATGTCTGGCATACTATAATTCGGTTTGGGAAGGAAGATATGTAGATGAAATAGCTTGAAAGGGAAGTTGGACTTACAGGGTTTTGGTTCCATTCAATTGTGATTCTACTATAAGTACTTACTAATGTGATATGAAACAATCTTGAAAATGCTAAGATAATTGTTGTCTATAGTTCTTTTTAACTTCTACTGCCTGGAATGTACCTGGCTACATAAACTAGATGTGGTTTCTTGTACTATCTGATACTTCTCACATGAATTCAGTTGAGACCTCTGAAGACTTAGATCTAGTTTAACACGAACAAAAAAGCTTTAACAGTGAATTTCTCTTTCAGGAAGCTCAAACAGGTGAATTCACAAGTTCAGGTGATGCGAAGACCACTATGGAAGGTGCACCTGTTGCAGCCGCCAGTAGAAATGAAGAATCATACTCTGCTACAGAATCTATACAGATGACACATACTTTATTGGAAACAGATGATACACCTGTTGATTTGTCAACTAAAAAAGAAAATGCTCAAGGTTCTTCAGCGTCCACCACCCAGGGTATACTCTCCTGCTTGGAATAGAGTTAAAAGTCATATACCGGTTTCAGAGGTGGATCCAGCTAGTTTTTCTGCCAGTGAAAAAGGGATGAGGGGGGTCCCTTTTGAGCATAAAGCCTGTGCTAAGAATCATGGGACCTGGATGGGTGAAAGGCAAGTGCAATGAGGGATGGAGAAAGGAGGGGAATTAGGTAAGAGTAAGTGGAAAAGCTGGCTTGATCCAACCCACAAACTGTATCAAGATCTATTAACATTCATGAATAATCTTGAGCTATTTAAAACTTCACATGCTGCACTGAAGTATGGTGCGTGTGCATGTAAGAGGGTGCTTTAGCCTGCCCGGATGATAGACAACATATTGAATATGTTTGTATGCCGAGTTTTAAACATGACCTTCAGGTCCTTTGTATGTAGGTGGATGGGAGAGAAGGGGTGAGAGATCTCTTTGTAGAGAAGGGGACAAATCTTTAGAGCTTGCACTGGGGGAAATGGAAGAAAAGTAGTACCACTAAAATGATATTTACATTCTGTTCTTGCATACAGAAAACCAGCCTTTCTCGTTTGACCTTGGCAACATACATGGCTTGTCTTTTGCTGATTTGGCCTCAAATAATTCTGGGGATTTTGCTTTTGGCTCTAAAGGTAAGGCACACTTTTAAAAGGTGTATGGGGGAGTATACTGAAGGGACCTGTTGTGTTGGAGGCCTTTAGTAGTGGAATAAAGCACTTTATTGAGGCAAGGAATTTTGTATGTAAGTATAGGATACTTTTTCTAGAATGCTAAGATTATTTCCTCCCCTTCCCCTGTTCAAACAGACAAAAACTTCAAGTGGGCAGATACAGGAGCAACTGTGTTTGGAGCACAGCCAGCTTCCAAAGGAGAGAATGAAGAAGATGGAAGTGATGAAGAAGTTGTACATAGTGATGATATTCATTTTGAACCAATAGTGTCTCTGCCAGAGGTAAGACTTTAATCAGAGAGGAAAAGGTTATCTGTAAGGTTCCTGCAGCAGTCCCTACATGACATGGCTATTGTGTTACAATATGATGTATAGTTCCAGTGTTGTAACCAATGTTCCCTCTAAGCTGTGGAGTCTTGTGAGCAAAAATTCTGCTTTGTGAAGAGCTGACATTAAAGTTGTGAGTGAACAATTTGGCTACTGCATAAATTAGTTTGCTCTGGAGCCATCCTTCCTGAGCTTAGACAAAAATCTGTGAGCTGGAGGCTAAAAAACTGTGTGCTAGCTCACACTAACTCAGCTTAGAGGGAACACTGGTTGTAACCCCACAGGATATTGCAGAAGATTAAGAGATGTATTAAGAAGGAAGATGTTAGGATAAGGTACACATCCATTACTTTATTCCAGGCTGTCAGTCTTGGCTTCTCCTCTTCATCCGTTGATGACAGCCTGCTACTTCACCTTAAGTTTCAGAGTAATAGATTGTTGTTGGTATCAGGAAATCTAGAATAATGTGAAATAGGCACGAACATAACAGGAACTAGAAGAGGGACACCCTGGGAGAAAGAATGCCTGCTCACATGCAGGGCAGCTGTAGTATATTATGGGGATTCCACTCTGTCCCCCAACTGTACTGGGAGCTCAGGCAAAGATTCCTGATAAAGTTTCAGAAGTTTAATTTTTTAAGACATGTGGGGTTATCTTGGGTGATGTTGGTAAAAGAAGGAACTGTAACCTGGGATTTCAGTGTTTCCAAAAGGCAGCGGTGCATAGTACTTCATAAATGGGAAAGCAATCAAATTTTTATTTATTTCCTTGGGCTGGGGGTGCTAGACAGTATATCTCCCCTTCTTTATACATGTGCACACACATGGTGGGAACCAATGGACAGAATTTTCATACTCTTGAGTATTGCTGTGCGTATTTCTAAAACAAAAGTAATACACAAATCACATTCGATGGAAAAAGTAGTACACAAATCCCATTCAGTGAAATACAGTTTCTCCAAGGCCTTAATTCAGGAATGAACTATATTAAGTTGTAATGGTAATATTGGTCTGAATAAGACTTCTTGTATCTGCCAGGTTGAGGTGAAGTCAGGAGAAGAAGATGAAGAAATTCTTTTCAAAGAGAGGTCAAAACTCTACAGATGGGACAGAGAAGTCAATCAGTGGAAAGAACGTGGTGTGGGAGAAATAAAAATCTTGTTCCATACACAGAAGAAATGCTATAGAGTTTTAATGAGAAGGGACCAAGTTCTTAAAGTCTGTGCAAACCATATAATCACAAAAGCAATGGAATTAAAACCCTTGAATACCTCAAACAATGCTATGGTTTGGACTGCTACAGATTATGCGGGTGAGTATTTGTGGGGGGAAATATTTCATAATTTGCCTAATGTTATAGTTAATCTGATCACAACACCTGGAATAATGTTTGGGATTTTAATTTCAGATGGTGAAGCTAAAGTAGAACAGCTGGCAGTCAGATTTAAAAGCCAAGAACTAGCTGATACCTTCAAGAGGAGGTTTGAAGAGTGTCAACAAAGTTTATCAGAGCTACAGAAAGGCCACGTATCCCTAGCAGCAGAACTGTCAAAAGAAACTAACCCTGTGGTATATCTTGACATTTCTACTGACAATGAACTTCTAGGTCGTATAACCATGGAATTGTTTTCAAATATTGTTCCTCGAACAGCGGAGAACTTCAGAGCACTGTGCACAGGAGAAAAAGGATTTAGTTTAAGAAACTCCACATTTCACAGAATAATTCCAGGTTTTGTCTGTCAGGTAAGTGCAAACATTAATGTTGGGTATATGTAGTGAAGGGTTTTTCATTTTAGACCAGGGATTTATTGTCAGGGTTAATAAAACTAAAGGGTACCTAAAATTTCAAAAACAGCCTCTTTTCAATTTGTATTCAGTTTTGTTGTTGTTCAGTCGCACAGTCGAGTCCGACTCTTCGCGACCCCATGGACCAGATCACGCCAGATCAGTAGGAGGGTGGAAAAAGAGAAAATGAAATGCCACTTCTCCGAATTGGAGCCCCCATATATATTCCTTTACACAAGTATATCTCCAGAAACAGCCATTCAGTGCATTGAATGTAAGCCCAAATAAAATAAAATAATAACTTAAACAGATCATCAGAATTTATTTTGAGCTCCAGGGTTCACCCTTTTCTCTCATTGGTTAGGTTAAGTAATTCTGACACTATATAGGAATGCATGTAATGTCTGAGCCTGCTGGCACTTTTAATATTCAGGTAAGGAACCTGTGAATATAAATGGTAAGATTTAAAACTGTTTTTAAGGCTTCACTGAATTTCCTTTGTTCATTCCAGGGAGGTGACATCACTAAACAGGATGGTACCGGAGGACGATCTATTTACGGAGATAAATTTGAGGATGAAAACTTCGAAATAAAACACACTGGCCCTGGCTTACTGTCCATGGCAAATCGTGGCAGAGACACCAATAATTCTCAGTTTTTTATTACTCTAAAAAAGGCAGAGCACTTGGACTTTAAACATGTTGTATTTGGGTTTGTGAAGGACGGCATGGATGTTGTGAAGCAAATAGAATCTTTTGGCAGTCCTAAAGGAACAGTGTCAAAAACAATTGTGATTACAGACTGTGGGCAAATATAAAAATTACTGTGAGACGTATGTGGATGGAAAGAAATCAGCATTCAACAGATCTAGACAAAATTATGTTCAGTTTTTGAAAAGCTGAACACTTTTAATGTATAAATGTAAATTTACAGCATATAGCTGAGTACTTTTTTAAAGTGTTCTAATGGAATTTGCATGTTATTAAATAAACGCTTAAACACATATTTCATATGTGATGTTCCTGATTTTCATTAAACAGTTTAAAATGAAATTCCAAGAGCCTGAAGTTCAGCCCCTTTGTTCAAGGGAGTCGAAGAAGGTTACAGCCTACTGATACATCTCGCGACATTCATAGGCAATGTAAATCAATGTAAATCAACTCCTTGCCCATGTTTTGCTTGCAGAACTATATTAGGTAAGACTTCCAAAGTTTCCAAAGTTTGTGTATAAAAGTGAGGGTTTTTTTGTTTTTGACAGAAAACCACAACCATATGTGATTCTGATTTGGATCAGGATTAGGTAAACCTTTTCGTCCCCGGTGCCACTTCCTTCACTTAAAATAATCTCACAGGGCTGTTTCAGGGCAGGCAAATAATGGGATGGAAAAGGCTTTTAAAATGGTTATTTTTCATTTGCATCTTCTCTTGATCCTTTCTTAGTCTGGCTTTATACTTGAGATAGCGTTGATCACTGTGGTGAAGGAAAGAGGGAATTCAGTCTCTTCTGATCTTTTGGGACGGATCACAGTAGATCATATGCAGTCTTATTGAACTACGTTGTTCAGATAAATCAGTGCTCTGCTTTGCTTAAGGTCATTTATATGTGATCGTGCCCAAAGAGTTATTGTTGAAGTGAAGCAGTCTGCAGTGTGGCATCTTTTTCTGCAGGTTCCACAAAGAGTCCTTCTGCAGTGTTGTACTTGGTAGATCATTAAATGATCAGCAAGAGGGTTTTTTTTAGTTGAATGTTATCAAATATCAAAACAATATGTAAAAGCAGCTTTCTCTGGACTTGGACAGTAATCGGTAGCTGTGGTGAAATGGCTGAGGGAAAACATGATAAAAATAAGGTAAGAGATTCTGGTCTTCAAGGCTGCTGTTCTGCTTGGATTTTTAGATGGGGTTAAGCTTGTTATTGGCTGACTTAATAGAGCACTTGGGTGTGGTGCTGGCTGCTCCTCGGTTGATGGGAAAACAGGTGAAAAATTTGTGAGGAAGCCTTTTTTACCAACTTCATTGGGTTCAGATGCTTTTAATGCATTTTGATTCAGATAACCTGGCCATGCTGCTGTGTGTGACTGAAGCATCAAGACTTGGCTACTGTAATGCTCTCTGCGGCTGCCTCTGAAGACAGCTTTGAAGTTTCAATCGGTACAAAGCACTGCAGTTGACATTTGTGCTGATTGGACCATGATAAATCAGTTTTAATTTAATTAAAATGAATTAATCAGGTTTAGTTCACAGTGCTGGTTCTCTTTATGTTCATACACAACCAGATTTCTTGGGGACTGTCTCTCCAAGTCCATGGGCCAGATACTGTTGCTGATCAACCTTTACCTGTGCTATCTCCCAGGGTAGCAACAGGTGCTTCCAACTCTTAGGTTTTCTTCAGGAGCCCCAAATTTGTGGAACAAACCACACTGGTAGATCAGAAGCATTTCCATCCTTTCTGCTTTTAGAAAAGCCAGTGAGGTAGTAGATTTTTTTAAATTCAGTTAATGGTGTACAGAACTAGATTTGAAGTAGTTTGTCCGTTGATGTGAATTGTGCATTTTAATCTGTTTTATGTAATTGAGTATTGGATTTTTTGTAACAGCCCTTTTGATTAGGGAGGGAAAGGTAAACTAGAATTTTTCGGATAAAATTAAGGAAAATGTCCCAGCGCCACAATCTAAACCCAGCTGTAATCCTGTATACCTATTAAAACAAACAGCTCTGTATAAAGAACTCCCAGCATCTTGTCTGGTTTGGCACTCCAAAAATAACCGCCATTTGCCTTAATAAAGTATAACTTTCAAGTCTTTGACCAGAATATATTTTGGTAGCTTAAGGTAACTATTTGTTATTCAGCCTGGCAGTATATATGTCTTGTGTACTTGGCTTGGAAACTGCCAATAAATCACCAAGCCACAACAATTAGCGATTGTGAACATGGTTGGAGAGTAACACCTTTAAAAGAACATTACTGTTGGCAATACCTGTGTGTCTTGTCAGACCAAACACATGGAGGACAGGTTCCTAATGTGTCTGGCTATTGTATGGGCAAAGCTGCTGCCAGCACATGACTAGAGGCAGGATTCATCAAGGTGTATGTCGATCACACAGATGGGATCTCAAGCATGCACAAAGTACCTCTGGAAACTTCTAAAACCTGCAGCGAAGACATACCACATGTACATGGAGCGGGCCAAGTAACATCCTCCACCCAGTTCTTTGTCTCAGCTTATCACTGGCTTGTATTCGATCACACCAGATCTGAAGCCTTCCTTAGACAACAAGAGGCTCTTCTTCCAGCACGCAGGAGGGTACAAGCTACTACCCGTTCTTCCTGGGCAGCTTCCTTTTCAGTACTGAGGCTGTGATTCTCCTATCCATGTTTGTCATATCAATTCTATTGTGCTGGTATTAGCCAGTTAATCTGTAATAGCTCACTCAGACATAATATGTTACCATTTAATATTGGGCAGGAAGTAGTAAATACGTACATATGAATTGGCTTTCTGCTATGGACACGCCTAGAGCTTTCTAAGGAGTATTTTAGTTTGTGCTTGGGTAACAGCCCATGCCAATGCTGTGGCTATATGTACTAGATGGTCTCTTAATGTTAGGGTTCTTCGATGTTCTTATAATGAACATTAAACAGGAATCTTGGGCAATTTTCAATAGCCCAAGAAGATACGTGTATTCAGCACCTTGTTTAAAACAAGGATAGATTGTAGGTACCTTTTAAGAAGTTAGGGTTCTTGGCTGGATCAGGGGTAATGACAGCCAGTCTGCAAATGTAGGCACTTGCTGCTGCTGAAGGGCACTTTATGTATATCCTAAGGCTGGTCATTTATTTCATGCTGGAAGGCTTGGGGGTTGGTACACATATCAACAAAACTAGTTTGGCTGGGAGAAGCAGTCTAGCCTCATTTTAAAAAATGAGGCGTTCTCAAACTTGCAAGTAAAATATAAAAAAATATAAAATATCCTAAAAACACTTTCCTGGGAGTAAGCCCCACTTAGTAAAATTCTGAGTGTCTTGCCATGTCAAACTGGGCTCTTAGTAAGTATATGTATAATGGTAGTATGCCAAGGATCCACAGCCCAGGCAGCTGTTGCATAGATAGCCATGTTGCATGTTTCAGAGGGTAGCTATGTTAGGGTGCAGTCAAAAAGCTAGACCTGTCCAGTAGCGCCTTAGAGGCTATCAAGTTTTTTGAGAGAAGGGGGAGTAAACTTTCAAGAGTCAAAGTTCCTGTTGTCAGATGCATGTTGCAGGGGTAGACAATAGTCTGCTTTAAATCAGAGGTTGGTTATGTGGCATATTCCAGGGATTTTCATGCCTAGCTGGCTGTACAGCAAAAAGTTGTGCCATTTACCTTTGCAGCATATTTAAACTGTCTACCTATCTTGCCTAGTACTAGGAGTTAGAGTTGTAAGACGTGGGCTGAGCCAGAAGAGTTCTGAAGTGGCAGAATGGGTCTGCATCACTTCTGTCTAGTCCTCACATCTGTTTGTCGCTCTCGTATTTGCCAGCTAATTTGTTGCCATTCCTTGATCTTGCCACCTTGATCCAATCTCAGCTTCACTTATGCATCTTGACTCTGACGGGACCCTGACGCTTCCACCCACCCCTCAAATCTTCCTGTATATAAGGCTTGAAGAAATTCCGTTTCAATGTGTCTGAGGAAGTGTGCTTGCACACGGAAGCTTGCACCTTGAATAAAACGTTGCTGGTCTTAAAGGGGCCACTCAAACTTTGTTCTGCTGCTACCCGGCCTGATTCTGTCTACAAAGCACTGCTTGTCAATGTTCCTTTCTGTTAACACAGAACTGGCACAGCTGGGGACTCCAGTCCCACCAAGATACGGGGAGGCCATCATTTATTTATTTATTTTATTATATTTATACCCCGCCCTCCCCGCGAACGGGCTCAGGGCGGCTTACATAAGGCACAAAGTGCATACAATATATAAAAGCTAAAACAATTAAAATTCTGTTCCATCAGATGCACAAATAGAAAACTCCTGACATTTTGTATAACAGGAGGGGAGGGCTAAACCCCGTAACATTAACCCTTTCTTTAAAAATTGATTTACAGCCCCAACCCAGCCTGCCTGCTTACTCAGCCTGCTCAGAAATCTAATTCTGGCTGGGCTGCAACTTCGCTCCTTGGCGCGTGCCTCTACAGGTTGGTGCTGTTTCGACAGGTTTCTTTTGACACGGATTATACGTAATGCCCAGAGTAACGCTTCGGGTTTGTTTGTTTTTAAAAAACAAAACAAAACACGACACTTACTCAGCAGTGGTTAAGCCCGTTCTGTCCCCTCATCCGGCTGCCTGTGTGAACCTGGGCTCGGAGCCAGGCAGTCCTATACCAAAGCGGCCACCCAAACATAAGCGTTGCTCCTCGCCTTTAAACCCATCCGCATCCGTAGTCTTGGAAACGGCGCTGAGAGCGGAGAGGCGTGGCTGAGCACCCTCGCGCAAGCGCCTTGAGGCTTCGCTGCCTCCGCCTATTCGGCCGTTGTGAGCGGCAGTGGCGGAGGCGGGCGCGCGCCGGAGGTTCTATTGGCGTTCCCTTTCCTCCCTAATGGCGAGCCCGACGAAGCTGAGTCGTTCGGTCGAGCGCTGGAGACGGCGCTACTTGGCGGGGGAGGTGGGGCCTTGGCGGGGCGGGGGAGGTGGGGCGTTACTTTATGTGTTTCGTGACCCCTTCGCACGAGAATGAGTGTGAGGTGCCTTTTGCTTTTTTCACTGATAAAAGTAGTTCGGTTGCGGGTAATCCGTGGCGAAGTTCCAGAATAGAAAAATGCTTATCGTGACACCTTCCATTGTGCTCCCCCCCCCCCAAGGGGGGGGTGGGAGTCTGTCCTGTGTAAGGGAGGCACTCTGCACGTGTTCAGATGCCTCTTGCCCTTTGTACTACGAACCCAACTCAGATCTTAACTAAACCCCTGGTAATTCTGTAGTGAGGAAGTGTCTCAGTTTAAGGCACGTCTGATCTAGGATTACTGGCTAGAGGTAGTTTTCATTACAGTTTTAATTTGGCCATTTTGCTGCTGACATTGGAGAAGCCGCTGTTCCTGTCGCCGCCACTGTGTCTTTAACTGCAAAAACTCAACAGATGCATTTTTCCCCACTCTGGAGATATGAGGGTAGCAACTACATCTGTGGAATATTTGCGTTGCGTGCAATTGTTAACAAAGTACAAGAACTTGTTAGGAGTGCAGTAATGATGTATGTGATTGACCCATGCCTTATTATTGTTGTTATTATTATTATTATTTCTTTTGAATCGTCCAACCCTGCAAGCAGGCTCTGGGCGATCTACAGCAATAAAACAGATAAAACACAATCAACATGATAAAATTATTACAATGCACTAATTAAACAACCAGTCCAGATGGCAATCGACTCCTTTTTGGCCGACTGCCTTGCTCTCTGCGCAGCAGGGAAGGGGACACGGGACCAAAAGGAAAAAAAAGGGGGGGGGGAATCCCTCTGTCTGTGGGTGAATTACTTGTCCTTTTTGTTGATACCAGCATTTGAAACATCATTTCTTGTTCCTGCTGTGATGTCTTCTAATTATATTTTTATAACACTGTTTATCTAATGACATAATCTCCAGGTTCAGGAGAACATTAATTTCAGTCAGAGAGCCCACAAAATCGTGTTACAAAAGAGCTAGAATAACAGTAATTTGTATAGAGTGAGCAGACGTGTGATATTAATAACAGCAAAGCAAAATTCTTCTTTTAGGATTGTTCTTTGGATACAGTACAAACCAAAACCAAATCGAAAAGTAGAAGAGAACTGTTTTCTCCAGGTAACCCATTTTTGAAGGGATTCATTTGTTTTCAGTTGAATTTGAAAATTAGGATAATAATGCTAGCCTTATTGTTTTTTTAAAAAGTGGTTTAGAGAGTGTCTGACTAGAAGCTCCTACTGGTATATTTGACTATTTTTTACATTTTGTATTTCATGTACCAATCCTCCAAAATCCATTTTAATCTCTGTTGAGTTTGGAGAACCTCCATCTGAATGGCATGTGTTTGCTTTTGTGTCTCTGTCATCAGCTGTTCTGTTATAGCTTTTTCCCTTTCAAGTTTTCATAGAGAATAGAATAGACCATAATTTGATTGTTGTTGTTCATCCTCTAATCAGCACGATGGATTTTCTTATAGGTAAAATGGACAGCTCATTGGATGATGCAATTTCATCTTTACTCATAAATTCCTCATGCTTTTCAAAGCATACCTTCAGTGGTAGAAAGAACAGTAGAAAACATTTTTCTAATGCTTCAAAGAATTTTATAAACGTGGGTTGGTAAGAAATTCCGCTTTACTGTTTTATACATTTTTAAAACGTCAACTCCCCTCCCACCAATTGCCTGATTTTGTTTCAAACTATTTTAAGATTAGAAAGTAGTATTGAACATTGTTCTCACTGTAAAACTAAGGTGATTCCTAGTAATTCCAGAATTTACTCTACACTGTATGTAGCTTAATGCAATCCTTTACTTTTGTTAGGCTTGGTGAAGAGTCCGGTTCCCACTATGATTCAGGCCAATCTAACATACAGCCGGAGTTTATCAGAGATTCTCTTGAAAGTAATGAAGTTCAACGGACAGGTATATATACAGAAACAGGTAACTGAAAATTTACTACTTAAATATAACTCTAAGGAAATTTCACTTGATAACGTTTTCAGTTTTACTAATCTGCAGTTCAGTCCTCTCTGGTGCTTAGAGCAATAATGACTTCCTCTGCATTGACTTGGATAAATGTGGTTGAGATCTAGGAGGTGCCTCTAAATTGTAGGGGCCAGCATCAACCACTTATTCAAAATTTATTGATACACATATGTGCCTGAATAACACCCAGTACTTGTTTTACACTGATTGGTTGGTTTTTTTGAGACACTTTGAAGTATTTTACAGATGAAAAAAAGGACACGTTTGTAAAACAGCCGTGTTTGTAGTAAGAACTACTGCCTGTATGTACCTCCCCCCCCTCTAATCTACCTGCTGTCTATTATATTTATTTACACTACAAGAAATTGTTCTGCAGTGACTTAAGAACCAAGAGAGTGTTGATTCTCTTGGTCAAAGGTGTGCTCAGAAAAATGTCAGCATCCTGTAATAAGCTGTCAGGGGTACAGATATACTTCAGCCCTGTATTCAGTGATGATTCATGCACATGCATGAGGACTAGAAACAATATTCAGATTGAACTTCTGAAGGAGGTGCCAAGCCTTGAAGAATGACAGCACACTAGTCATCTCCTAAAACAAGTCATCTCCTAAAATACAAAAATGGGCACAGTGGACCAGGAACAGAAGGTCAAGAAGATAGAGGGAGATAAAGAGAATGGCCATTCATTTTCTTACATTTTCTAAAAATTTCCGCTCTGAAGCAAAATAGATATTTGACAGCCCTTGCAACCCTCTCTGTTTTGTGTTGTTTCCTTTGCTTCTCTTCTTTCAGAAATAAACTAAAAGCTTGGGTTTAAGTGCATGATCATGGTAGAGGTAAACACATTCTTTCTCTCTTGGAGAGTAAAGGAGGATTTGAATGGGGAGCTGTTTAAGGGAAGAAGTTGTGGCCGTAGGTGCATTGTGAACTACCTGTAACTGTACCAGTGTTTTGTTTGGATCCATTTCTGCTGTTCAAGTTAGCAAATTGAGAAAAAAAGCATGTGATTAAGCTAGATCTCTTCTTCTGTTCACTTTTACATTTTCATACTGAAGAGGCTGAAGCAGCACAGCTTGGCTTCATAAGTCACAGGGAGAGCGGTAGCTATGAAGAGGAGGTCGAGTGGAGAGAGTGTCCTGAGAGAGCACTCTCAATAGCGGAATATGGCAGACGTGGCTAGGTTTTTCTGTTTCTGTACACGGCCAGCTCTGTATATAGGAGGCTGAAAGGGATGGGGAACTGGGGTTTCTGCTTCTAGATGTGACTGCAGACCGTGGGCTGTATCCTGTATGTTCCTTATGCGCTGTTGCAAAGGACCTCCAGTGCTAGGTGCTTTCCAGGTATGCAAAGTCCAGCGTCTTGTATGAGCAGAAGGCACCTCACACGAGAAGAGCATCCTCCATTGCAGAGCAGAAGGATCCAGGCCACTGTTAACAAGCCGGGTATAAACTCTGGGTTAGAATATTGGCTTAACAGCCACCAGCAAACCATAGTTTTATGGTAGCCTGCAGCCTGCACTTAGGTATCATGAAAAACCGGAGTGTATAAAACCATGGTTTCATGATGTTTGAATGCAGCTGTTGGGTTCCTATTGCATTGTCTTTAAAAAAAAACCAACCCAAGTGTTTCTAGTTAATTTATTAGGATACAGAACTTTAAATAAGGCTGAGCAAAACTACCCCTTTTCTTAATTTGAAAATGAATGAACCTCTCTGGGATAGCTGTCTGCTGGGAATCCACTTGGATTTCTTTTTGGTATACGGAGAGTGAAAAGTAGGCATGCTGTGCTTGATCACTGTTCAGCTCCTCTCCTAGAAGCTGTGATTGCTTTTCATAGTAGAGATGGTAATCAAGCTCCTGCTCCGTGTGTGCGTGTAGCATATTCGACTGTTACAACTATGGGGGGTAACAGTGAATTACTCAAGTGCTCATTTGCCTTTCATGACCCTCCAGATCATGGTTTGTATAATTACAAACGAGTCGTAGAGTCTCCCATTCTGTCCTCCATCTTTATCTGCTCTCACTAACCATAATTTTCTGATTCCCGGCTATAACCAACTATGGTTACTGCTAAATGGAAAACTGGTAAGGAAGCTACATACAAGGAGGGGAATTCTACCGCTCACAGCTCATTTTTTATTTTCCTTCACCATTCATCTACTGCTGCTTTTGCTTCCTGCTCTGTCTGCCAGTTCTCATTGATGTCAAAATGCTCAGGATGGATACTGTGGAACTAGTATCAAAGAGAGAATTCACAAGGGTTGCATCTCAGAGGAGGCTCACGTAGAACTTTTCAACAGTGATCTTTCTTGGACACCTTTAAAAGGGAAATGTTTTTGAAAATTTTAAAACCTCCTTGGCCCGTAAAGGACTCTGCAATTAATACCTTCAGTGGTAGAGGACAGAATTTTTTAAGGCTATTTAATTACATTTTAACTCCAAAAGAGCACTGATTTGCCAGGTTTAGTAGGGCGGCGGATGGGTACTACATCAATAAGGAAATAATGGCCATTAGAAAAATTCAGAAGTTATAACTTGATATTGTTATCACTAGTATTATTTGTAACTGTTTTAGTTTTTCTTATAGCTCTCTCCTCTCTATGTGGTGTGTGAAAGAGGATTGTGATATTTTATTGAGAATTTTAGCTGCTCTAAAATATTACATTATCATTAAAAGGGTACAGGTCAAGAAGATTCATGCTCTTCCCTGCATGGTGCATTCAAAGCATCTAGACATTATGGGAACTGTAGATGACACTTTAGTAGAGACATCACCCTGCCAACAAAAGTCTGCATGGTCAAAGCAATGGTATTCCCAGTAGTCATGTATGGCTGCGAGAGTTGGACTATAAAGAAGGCCGAGCGCCGAAGAATAGATTCTTTTGAACTATGGTGCTGGAGAAGACTCTTGAGAGTCCCTTGGACTGCAAGAAGATCAAATCAGTCAATCCTAAAAGAAATCAACCCTGACTGTTCCCTGGAAGGCCAGATAATGAAACTGAAGCTCAAATACTTTGGCCACCAAATGAGAAGCGAGCACTCACTGGAGAAGACCCTGATGCTGGGAAAGATTGAAGGTCAAAGAAGATGGGGATGGCAAAGGATGAGATGGTTAGACAGTGTCATAGATGCAACGAACATGAAATTGAGCCAACTTCAGAGGACAGCGGAAGACCGGAAGGCCTGGCGTGATCTGGTCCATGGGGTCGCGAAGAGTCGGACTCGACTGTGCGACTGAACAACAAAAGATGACACTTTTAGACGCCAACTTAATTCAGGGGTGGAAAATGGTCAGTAAAATCAGTAAAAGTCAGTTTTTTCATCTTGGTCAGTAATTTGTCAGTATTTTAAAAAATTGGTCAGTAAAGTCAGAATTTCTTTGATTTTTGTGAATGCAGTTTGTGTTTTTACAGTTTCATTACTGCGTTTTTGGGGAAACATGATGACTTTCCAGTGAGAAGACCGATTGTTTTCAGTTTAGTTATGAAGTACTTTAAGGACTTTGTTCCTAAGAATAAAAGTGATTTGGTGAAATCTTCCACAAAGTATAGAAACATAATTAACCTCTTAAAACATGAGACAATGAAAGTAGAGATGATGGATATTGTGGGCTTCAACATGGCACAGCTCATGTTAGAAGGAGTTGAGAAAGCAATGGAAGAAGAGGACAAGGGGGAAAATGCTTGTGGATGCAGTGCAGAAAACTGTTGAGAAACGAAGGAGTTCGTGAATAACTTTATTTATTCAATTCATACCCCGCCCTCCCTGCTGGAGCGGGCTCAGGGCGGCTTACAAAGAGATTAAACATATAGGTAACTAATTATATACAATCTTAAAACAAATAAAGCTCTACATTATCATAAAGTGCTAGTAAGTGATCAGGTACTTATAACAATGCTTACAGAAGGCGGAACCAATACTAGTGTTGTAATCAGATGATCTATATTGGTGGTTGGCTCATTTTGGTCTCTATATTTAGGCAACAGCACAGGCTGTTGGGGGTAAGCCAAGGACCAGGGCACTGTCACTTCTCAATTATTTGATGTTATTTGGTGCGACTCCTTAGTCGGCAGCCGGTGCAGTTCTTTCAGCACAGGGTGGATGTGCTCCTGCATAGGGAGGCCCATCAGAAGCCTGGCTGCAGCATTTTGCACTAACTATCTTCTGAATTTGGGTCAAGGGCAGCCCCATGTAGAGAGCATTACAGTAGTCCAATCTTGAGGTGACCATCGCATGGATCACTGTCGCCAAGTCCTTGCATTTGAGGAAGGGAACCAACTGCCTAATCAGCCAGAGGTGGTAAAAGGCTGATTTGGCAGTGAATGCTACCTGGGCCCCCACTGTTAGTGAGGCATCCAGGAGCACTCCGAAGCTCCTAACCTTTGGTCCTGGCACCAATGGCCCCATTGAAGGTTGGAAGTAGGATCCCTATCCTTGGGCCGCCCCTGCTCAGGCAAAGGACTTCTGTCTTACTCGGATTCAGTTTTAGATGGCTCAGTCTGAGCCAACCAGCCATGGCTTGCAATGGCCAGTCCAGATCTTCCGGTGTAGAGTCAGACTGGCTGTCCAACAACAGATAGAGCTGGGTGTCATCCGCATACTGGTGACATCCCAGCCCATGCCATCAGGCAATCTGGGCAAGGGGGAGCATGTAGATGTTAAATAAAATTGGGGACAGCACCGCTCCTTGGGGCACTCCACAAATTAGTGGGTGCCTTTGGGATAGTTGCTCCCCTAGCACCACCCTTTGTCCCCGACCCTGAAGGAAGGAAGCCAGCCATTGCAAGGCAGGCCCCTGGACTCCAGTGTCGGTGAGGTGGTGGATCATTAACTGATGGTCGACTATGTTGAATGCCGCCAAAAGGTCCAACAGCAACTTCACTGCCAATCTGCCCTGATTCAGATGCCTCCGGAGGTCATCCGTGAGGGCGACCAGTGCCGTCTCTGTCCCGTGGCCTGGGCAGAAACTGGACTGGAAAGGATCTAGAATGGAAGTGTCATCCAAAAAGCTCTGTAGCTGAATTGACACGGCCCTCAATTATTTTGCCCAAATAGGGCAGATTGGAGACTGGCCGGTAATTAGCCAATTCGGCCAGATCCAGAGATGGATTTTTCAGGAGGGGACGAACCACAGCTTCCTTGAGTGCCCTAGAGAACTGTCCCTCCAAGAGGGTTTTGTTGTTAATCTCCCTTAGGGCATCTCAAAACCCATCATAGCCAGCTTTAATTAGCCATGATGGGCATGGGTCAAGGCAGCACATGGTAGGGCATACAGTTAAGAGCAGTTTGTCAACTTTCTCCAGGGTGAGCGAACTGAAATAATCCATAACCTGACTAGAAGACGTGCATGGAGCCTTGAGTTCACTTACTGTCTCAACTGTGGTGGGGAGGACATTGTGGAGCGACAGGACTTTATCTGCAAAGTAGCTCACAAAGGCCAGTGTCCAGTTCCCTAACATTTGGTCTGCCTTGTGGTAGTACAGTCATAGACCGAATTATTCTAAATAATTGGGCTGGGCATAAACTCGCAGATGCAGTTATGGCCACATAGTACTCTCAGCAGCTTTGAGTACCATCTTGTAGGATCTCATAAACGTCCTATAAGCACACTGCTGCTATCTCTCTAGCCATCTTAGCCTTTGCTTCATCAGCCGCAGCTCCTGGGTAAACCAAGGAGCCAGCCAAGAGTGAGGGCGCAGAGGGCGTTGGGGAGCGATCTCATAGATGACCACTGAGAGTCAGCCATGCCAATCCTCCACAAGCTCATCTAACAAGCTGCCAGGGGGCATCGGATCCCGCAGGGCCATTTGAAGCCACATAAAGTCCACTTGACTCCGCAGGTGAGCTGAAATCTGCTCGCCACCCAAACAGGGTGAAACATTCAGATGGGCCTTCAGGGCATGATGGGGTCTGACCATGGCACTGCTGAGGCAGTGACCCGGTCCACTTGACCCCTGCTGCGAAGATCAGATCGAGGGTATCAATCAATCAATAGACCTTTAATGGCATATAGATCGAGGGTGTGTCCGGCCCGGTGAGTGAGAGTCGTTACATATTGGGAGAGTCCTAGCACCACCACGGATGACACTAGGTCCATCGCCTGAGTGGAGGCCACATCATCCGCATGGACATTGAAATCAAACAGGACAATCAGTCTAGGGTGTTTCAATGCCCAGCCCGACACAGCCTCCACCAGGGATGGCAGGCTGCTGAGCAGTTCTTTTTTCATCATAAAACCAAAGATAAAGTAAAAGCAAAGACAAGTCTCACCTTACAGTAATTATATTTTGTTGTCATAATTATTACTTTATGTTTGGGTTTTAATACATTTTTGCTGTTTTATTATCTGCAATATATGATTATTTTTAAAAGGGAACCTTTTGTTGCCTTAAATTTTGTACAATAATGAAAACATTGTCCTCTATTCATTAAAAAAAATCAATAAAAAGGTGTGCAATCCTTTTATCTGGGTCACATCTAACTATGGGGCTGGCTATGGGGGTGGTAGAGGCCAGATAATAATAATTTTTAATGAAGTCCTAGTTTTACATTTAAAACGCTAGCTTATCAGTAGGCTGACATTAAATTGTTCAGTAATTTGACAGTTTTTTGTCAGTATTTGTTCAGTTTTTTTTGAATTTTGGTCAGTAAAATCAGTATTTTTGACCCTCTGACTAGTTTCCAACCCTGTTAATTTTATCCGCCCCTTGCCCCCTTCTTTTTCTCTTTTCTTTAACTCTTCTTAACCCATGGTAGTAGTTCATTTTTTGTTTTGTTGTTCCGCACCTTGTTTTTGTTTACCGCACCTTGCACTTCTTGCTGCTCTACGTTTGGTCGTCACTGTATTTGTGAAGTTTAATTAAGTCTTTTAATCCAGCTGCCTCTTAGTTTCATTAGCCTGGGTGTAATGAGCAATTTTAAATAGTTACGACAGCTGCGCTGCTAGAACCTTTGTTGATGCGTCTAAATGCCTCTTTTATGTTTCTCTACATGCTGCCAACAAACTGTGTATCTCTATGAGTCTTTTCTGATATTGGTGGTATTGTGCTTTGAGAAGGCATTAAATAAAATTTATTTTAATTAAAAAAACAGTGATATTTTCTCCTGTGTAGGTCAACACACTGGGACTCTTCTGTGGCATTTTAAGTGCAGACACCCGATTGGCATAGCCCTCTGCAGCCCAGAACTCCTGAGCTCACGCGATCTGCTGGCCTCAGCCTTCCCAGCAGCTGGGATTACAGGCGCAGGATTACAGACCAAGTCTTATTTTCCCCCAGCAGCCTCTCTTGTCAGTTCAGCTCCTGTTGCCAATGAAGCTTCATTGGCTGTTTTGGGCCCTTTGATATTGCAACGGATTATTGCTGTCCTTGCAAGTGAATCCGATGTTCAGTTGTCATGCTTTGTGTCTATCTTGATTTCACTATTTAAGGTGTTTTGTGTGCCTGTTATGAGACAATGAATTAAGATTCCAAGATCCCCGAGCAACTTTTTGCTAAATTAAACAGCAATGCTTATTTATTCCATGTGTTTTCTGGTGACTTCCTCCTGACGTAATTCAGTTGCTTAGGCCCTCACCACAATTTTCACTAGTAACTGACTACTCTAGCTGTCTGTGAGATGTCACGAGCATTATCTTCCTATGTGCTGCATTTACTGAGACACCAGAACTCTATGCTGCTGGCCTCTAGATTGTTTTAATGTCTAGCTATGCAATCCTTCGGCAACCTTTAACTTTTATGAGTTAACAAAATGTATTTTCTGTTTACTTTTAAAAAATTGGAATAATGTATTTAAAATGTGTGGTTATTTTCTTGCCTACTAGATGTCACTCTGCCATCTGGATTGACAGTGGCCACATGCAGTGAGTGTGGTGGCAGTGGAGTGGTAAGAGAGACTGGAACCCAAGCACTGAATGGGGAAAGCCTGATACCATCTCACTTAAGTCAAATTTATCATGAATTGTCTGTCATATATCAAAAGCTGCAGGTAAATTAACATTTATTTGAATACGGTAGAACATTGTGTGTGATTTTATTTCCTTGCTATAGAAATTGTTATCTTAGATATGTAACTCATAGGGCTGCTTTGACCTCCATCGTTGAAAGGTTGTTGCCATGCAAGCCTACCAATGTGTTTTTATGAACAGTATGGACTGTGCAAAGAGACTGTATGATATGGAGACCTGGGAATACCTGTTGAGACTGCACACCTGAAAGAGGGACACCTTCCTGAAAGAGGGACACCACAGTAATAGTCCAGAGTCACCAGAATCTGAGAATTGGTATAAATGTGTGTGTGTTTGTGTATTGTTTGAATGATATATATCCTCCAGTAAAAAAACAATATATTATTCTGAATACAGTCTCCGTGTCTGTTCTGATACTTACAGCAAAGGTGGGACTTCTGTATACATTGGTGTGAACTCTAATTTGCCTATTGCCAATTAATAATCATAACCTCCCCTAGATGAATTAAAAATTCAAGGCAATTTGGCTAACAAGGTGCATCTGTATTGTTAATATTTCACACTTGTTTTTTCTGAATGGCACATGGGGAGGTGGAAATACAAAGGACAGTGATCTTTTACTGAGACATCCTCTATTATTTTAGAAGTATTGTGCCTTTTGAATTACATTGAATTTTTCATTCTGTACAGTTAATATTGTGTGTGAATGTCATGAACAAACTTAAGAATGCGTCATGAACTCCTCAGGGTTAGGCCTTCTTTCCCTCCTTCTTTCATGTGAAGAATGGAGTTTAAAGACTTCCTGATTGGAACAGTGTGTTTTGTTTTGATGTCTGAATTCGGCAAAATGACAAACCTGGATTGTCCACAAGAGATTATTCAGGATCTAGGTCTGTTGCCAAAAGAACAAGCTGCTGTTTGTCATTTTGGACGATTCAGGTGTTAAAATAAATTGTAGCTTATTCCAAATGAGAAAATTTGAAATTGAAATCAGTAAGCTTTCTAATTCTTGTGACTTTCTGAAAATATTTACATTCCTAAAGTATCTGAGATCTCAGATGTTACAGAGTTGCAAAAATGATTCTAATCCAATTTATGTTTTTGACTCTTTCATCGTAAAATACTGTTTAGAAAGTGTAGAGCTTATTCAGGTCCTTACAGAATTTTGACATGGACGTTCAGAAGAAAGATGAATTAGCCTTCGGAGACTCACGCAATTAGAATATTCTGTATGTGAGTGAACTGAATTGTTTACCAACTTAAGCTCGTAGATAACCAGTCTTGGTTGCCTGTGAATAGTAAAAATTGTTTCCAGGTACCCAACCAGAGAGATGAATGCATTCCTCAGTTTTATGCCACCTTGCAATACAGCTAACAGGTATATGAGGAAAATAAATCTTTTGCAGGCTGTTCATATTTTAGGGTTTATTTTCATGGTTGGCTTACATTCAAAATACTGTATTTCATACAGGTATGTTCTCTCAAGTACAATGTTTTGTTTTGTCTGCTCCAATTCAGCAAGAAAGTCTAACTCAGCAAGAATATTCTTTAAAACTTGAACAGCGAGAATGCTTCTTAGCTGAACGAGAAGCCTTGCTTTGTAAACACGAAGCCGCTTTGACTAAGATACGAGGCGTTGAGGAAAAAGTTCATGCAAAACTTCAAATTATAAAGGAGGTATCACAGTTGCCAATTTATTTTTATCTGGGGCTAATATTTTTGGCTTGCAGTGCAGTTAAGCTTCCTCGTGCCAGTCTCTGTGAAGGGGCTTATCGTCGCTTCACTGTTAAATTGCTTTTGTAATATCAGCATTCAGACGCTGTGTCCTGGCCCAGAATAGCTTTGCACACATAAATGTATCTGTTTAGGGAGCGGACTTCCCTGACACATAACCTAATGCATGCATAGACGGGCATGCAGGTGTAACTGAGGGTTAGATCCTGCCGTAGTATTTTGGAAGAAAGTGGGTGCTGACTTGCGGATTTCTTGGAACCAGAGGCACAGCTATGTTTCTGTTTCCCCTGAAGAAGACAGTCATTATGAGAGGATGCAAGATAAGAAAGGGGAGAGAACTGGAAAACATTCACTCACATGCACACGTCCTTCCGCCCTTCCTCCCTGCCCTTGACCAAGGCACTCAGGGCAGCATGTGGGGTTCCCTCTCCCTCATTTTATCCTCTGAGTAACTCTGAGGAAAGGTAGGGTTCTTCCTCATGAGTCGTTTTTGTCGGTTCTGGCCCTGAACTTTGTCGTTTTGGGTCGTCGTCCCCCCGCCGCCGCCTTCATTTTGCTCTTTATAAGGATCACTTCAATTTTTAATAGCTTTCTTCCAGGGAAGGGGGTTGTAGCACTTTTACACCTATGTTTTTAAAGCCACTTCACTCCAAATGCATAATACTCCATTGGGGGGGGGGGTTTGCTACCCCTTGCCACTCATCAACACCTCGACACACACTGAAGTTGCACGCCCTCCTCTCCCACCTTCCACCTCCTCCACCCCTTGCTACTGGTTTTTTTTAATGTTTTAAATAGAACTAGAGATAAATAGCTAATGGATTGATCTGTGTTGCCTTTTTTAAAATTCATGGAACTAGCGATAGGATGCTTAAAGGGGACCCGACTGGTATCGCCCCTGTGTTACTAAAGTGTACCAAAGCTGCATGTGAAATGTATAGGTGGTGGTGGGAGGTTAAGGCAGAGAATGAGTGCCCGGCCTGCAGGCTCTCAGCAGGCTTTATCGCGGAGAGGGGACTGAACTTGGATATCCTTAGCTGTAGTACCACACTCTTAAGTGGAGAATGAAACTTCTTGCTTCACTTTGCAGTGATTAAGTCTGAGCCAGTTCAGCTATCTGTGCAACTAACTGTTCAAGTCAGCAGTGTATTTGTGTGAGCAGGAAAATGATGAAGAAGTGTACTCAGGGATATGCTACTGGTTTGTTGCTTTAGAAAATCTTTCACCTCACAGACCTTAAATGTCAGACATGCATTATTTAATGGATACAATAGAACAGCATGCATGCACTTGGGCATAGAACCTGAAATTTAAATGAAAAGCTCTAAACTTTTGAAAGTGCTCTTTAAAAGTAGGGCTCATTATTTACATTAATCCTATTTTTTCTACGGTCTTAATTTTTTTTGTAGCAACATGAAGCAGCAATTCAACAGTTGTCTGAAGCCTTGAAAGAAAAAACAAAGGAAAACAAGAGGCTCAGATCATCATTTGACACTCTCAAGGAACTGAATGACACTTTAAAAAAACAGGCAAGTACAATTGTTTTGTTCCATTCATGAATGACAAATTTCAAATGTTATAAGTTAGAATGCTTTAAAGGTCTTATGAGCATCAAACAGTTAATATTGTTTTATGGTCTTTTATTATCAAAGGACCTGGCTTTTTAAGAAATATATTTTCCAAAAACTATATATTTAGGTCTTTTTATTTTGCTTTCACATATGTTGGTTTATGGACTCTGCTTTCCAATAATGAGGGGCTGCTTCATGTGTTGCAGCAAACAGTGGATTTCTGCTGTGAATCAGTTACATCTGTTCTGAACATTTGAAGGGCATTTCTGTATCGGTAAATACACAGAACATTTGCCAGTCATTGTTCATATGGAAGTGTTCACCAGTGATGTGGGCTTTCTGGAAAATTATCTGATTCCCTAAACACAGCAGGATCTGATTCCGCATGTGTATTTTAACACATTCAATAAACAATTTTTAATAGTACCCTGTGTTGATTGTATGTTCCAACATCAACAAATGGATAAGCCGAAATATTTGATTAGGTGAAAAAGGTGGTCGTGTGTGTTTCAGTGTTTTATTCCAACAACTTCAAAGGCTTATGAGGAAATTTGTATTGGAATAATACATGTAAAAATTTAAAAACATGTACTTCCTTTTTATTGTTTAAGAAAACCAAAGGTCCTGAAAACTGTTGACACGAGCTATAATCTTAAACGCACTTACTAGAGAGTAAGTGCCATTGACTCAGTGCTTCAGAAAATACACGTTTTGGGTGGCACTGTAATTTTAGCACATGCACACACACACTGTGGGCACAGTTTAGCTTTTTGGCTTTGGTCTAGGAAAGTCATCAAGACACTTCCATCATTTGTGTTACCTGTTAGTTCCATAGCAGATTGATGGTTACAGTCAATGTTCCCTCTAAGCTGTGGAGTCTTGTGAGCAAAAATTCTACTTTGTGAGCTACTAGCATTAAAAGTGGTAAGTGAGTGATTTAGCTACTGCATAAATGAGTTTGCTCTGGAGCCATCCTTCCTGAGCTAAGACAAAAATGTGTGAGCCAGAGGCTACAAAACTGTGAGCTAGCTCACACTAACTCAGCTTAGAGGGAACACTGGTTACAGTATCCCTTCCACTATGTGAAAGGAGACATGTGAATAAGAATTTTAGCTTTGGTTTCGATTTGGCCTGCTCAGCCCGTCAAGTAAAATCATAAGTGATTTTTTAAATCTGGATTGTTATACGTGTCTGTGGGTTTTACTGCCCCGTCCCCACCCTGTTTTACAAATCAATAAAAATGGGCATGAACTCTCAAGCAATTCCTAGGGGTAGTCACCTGAAAAACATTAATTGCAGCATTGCATCTGCCAAGCATGCCTCATATTGCTTTGGCAATGGTGGCATCTCTTGGTTGTATTAATTTTATGGAACAGTGAATCTTTAAAACGAGAAAGAAACTTTCCCACAGAGAAATATAAAGCGTTGGAAGAGTTTCCGTCTTGACTTTCTGATTAGGTTCCGATTCCCACCTGGGTTAAAGAAACACAAAGTCATACACATTGCATCAATTGGCCAAGGATTTGTGGGTAGACTTTCACAGAAAGGAAAGATTACAATTAATTCTATCTTTGGCCATACGTTGGAAGATGTTTTCTGTTTCTTTTTAGTTAAGTGATGTGAGTGAACAAAATAGGAAGATAGAAGCCCAGTCTCGCAAAGTACAAGCTCGTTTGGAGAATCTGCAGGTAGGATCTACTGACACTTCTTGCTGTTTGTCGTCTTTACAAGACAAAGGGTCTAGTGCAAATACTTCCTAATTTATCCTTTCACAGAGAAAACACGAATTTTTAATAATACAGAAGTCTAAAGAAGCTTCCCGTGCAGCCCAGGAACATAAACCGATCAGGCCAGAAAAAGTGACAGCCGTGTCAAAAACTTGTAAGGTAAGGCACACCCTGAACATAAATGGTAATCCTGAGTGTGATCTTCAGGGAAAGTACCATTTACACAGAGTATGTCCATCTGTGCTGGCTTCTCCTTCACTTTAGCAGTCAGTCTCACGTTAAGCGAATGGAATACTCCTCATGCCATTGTGCCTTTGTATGCACGAAGCAGGCAGTTTAGAGCTACTGCCATTTATTCTGAGGTAGACGAGTGAGAATAAGCATCACTCATCTTAAGCATTGTTCCCAAAGACTGGTGCTGATGGAAGAGAAAGGAGAAGCTCAGAAATCTGGAATACAACTCTTTAGGCTCTTTCAGAAAATACACTGCATGTGGTTGCAAAAGAGAATCCAAGATTAAGCTTCTAACAAAGAAAAAGCAAAAACCTCATCAAAGCACAGCTTTTAGGTTAGAAGAAACAAACAGCCACTGGATTCTGGGTGTCAGCCATGTAGAACTGTCATCCATGCGCATCAAGATGAAACAGAGAAAGTTTTCTCGTCTTTCAGCCCAGCACTGCATCTTCCTCTGCAAGCAGATTTCCATATGCTGTCAGTGCAGCTGATGTTAAGCCAGATATGTCCTGCAGTGCAGCCTGCAAAAGTTAGTGCATGTTAAAGGTACCTATCTTGATGTAAATAACTAATATGCTCTGAGAGATGCCCTGGTATGCTTGCAGGTGCCGCTTAATTTACGCATCTATGACCTTTTAACTGTGCTAATGGACTGGATCTCAGATCAGCACCTCAGCAAGCTGATGCATGAGGATGAGAAAGAAAACATCTGTAAGCCAGCAGGCACACTTTCTTCCAGCAGAAGCTACACACAGGGAAAATGCATCAAGGTAGTTCTATAATAAAGCTATTTATCATGCCTGCATCCTTATGTATGTATTCAGCTAAATGAATTGTTCTTAAAATGACAGATATTTCCAGGGCTCCCAATTACCCAAATACACCATGGATTTCCAGTGTAACTCTTGGTATTTTAGGGGTATATTTATTTAGCATTTCCATTTATATAGCCTGTGTTTGAATGTTTGTATCATGGGAAATTTTGGTGGTATTTGAGTTGCTACTGGACTAACACAGCTACGGCTACCCGCCTGAAACTGAGTTCATATTGTTATATATACTAAGCTCCTTATTTTGCTGCTTTTGTTCATTTCAGTGAACTTTCTCTTAGGAGAATCTTATGCCTTACTTTAACAATGATAACAGTTCTACAATGGTTTTTAATTAAGACAACATAAGATAGTGGGGGGGGGACATTACGCATAATATGAATACATGTAATGATCTATGTTATGGTTCTCAAAATAAATGTATACTCTTCTACGGAGCAGCTTACAACAATGACTTGAAGTCATAATCACAGAAATAATAAAAACAAAACCAATTGCAGACAGGATACTTGGAATTAATAGTACATACTGAGTCTGCTAGTGATTCTTCATCTCTTAATATGGTTTAACAACCTCACTCTAGAGAGCCACAGTTGGCTGATTATGCCCAGTAGTGTGTCAGAACCCACAGCTAGCAATGAAGTACACGCATTCAGGAACGGTTATACTTTTATTGCAAAGCTATAGATGCAGTAACACAGGCACTGTTAAGAATGGCGGCAACCCATATAGCCTAATAGGATATAGGGTATTCGTATGCACACCCCCCCCCAATGGCATGGGCCAATTAGATACCCTCCCGCGTGCGGGACAAGCTAGGAAACTTAACGAAAGCTGGGAACCAGGAGTCTCTCACGGTACATAGGAGACTTCCAGACAATACAACCTCCTCCTGGACATCTGTAGAGATAAGCGTTTCGGCCAAGGCAGAACAGCATGGATAGGAATGCAGTAGCAATTAACAAGACACAGAAGGAACTCCCCAACCCCCATGGCAGCATAGCTGACATAGTGGCACATAAGAGGAAGCCATGAGACCCACAAAGGATTGCTCATGAAGAAATGCTGGGTCTTGTTGCTGATTATTGGATCCAACAGCAATACTAGTCTCATCTATAACCAGTGTTTCAGTTCACAAAATCCCAGATGCTTTATGGAGGGCCATGCTGTATGTTACAATTTGTGCTTTGATCCTCCAAGTACAATTTTCTGATCTTGGTTATCTTGTGCAGTCCAGGTGGACAGAAAGCGCCATTGCAAGATCTGCTCTTAAATTAATCTAGTAGTTATGAATCAGGATAACATTTCCATGGGGAATAGGGGTCTCCTGCCCTGTTGTGTGTTGCTGCTGAAGAAACCTCATGTCCCTTAGCCAAATCATCTCTTTTAGCCTGTATACCTTTCCTTCGTGTTGATAACATGGGTAAAATACTGGGAAATAATATGTACGGTACCTTATTGAAACCTTGGAAAGTGAGATGTTGGGATCAGGCAATGGAAGGACATTGCATTAATGCCCTCCTTGCAAACTCCCTGGAGGCAGCTGGCTGTCCACTGCTGGAAACAGAATGCTAGCTTAGGGGGACTCATGATCAGCTTCCAGCTAGGGTTTTGTTCTAAAGATAACAATTCAATAGAATTTCATAAGAATAATGTATATAGGCTATGTACCCTGCCATTTTCTGATATTGATAATATGAGCATACTGTAGTGGTTAGAGTGTCTGGCTCAGACCTGGCAGACCTGGTTCAAATCTCCACTGAGCCACGAAGCTCCTTGAGTGGCTGTTCTCACTATCTCAGCCTAAGCTACTTTATAGGGTTGTTGTGAGGACAGAATGGAGGAAGGGGAAGAACCTCAGCTCCTTGGAGGACAGGTGAAGGAAAAGATGAATGGATGTGAAAGTGAACTTGCATGCAGAATCTGTTGGTTGGATCCGGCTCTTTACAAATTAACGATGATCGTGTCCACTTGTGTGTTACAGATCTTGCCTCTAGTTGCTGAGCAGCTTCAGTGGATGCCCTTTGTGAATCCTAACTTGCACATGCATGTGGTTAAATTTATTTATTGGGCTATCAGGCAATTAGATGGTGGGACACAGGTGAGAAATATTTATGCAAAGTGCTTCATTAGCATTTAGATAAGATTGTTTTCCTTCCAGAGGGTTTCAGCTATTATGCTGTAAGCTGGATGTGCATTTGAAGCAGGGTTTTTTATTCATTATTCTTTCCGTAGTAGCTAAATCATTTCTGTGATTAATATAGTTATCATACAAAGAGTATTGTGAAAGGAAACGGTGGCTGTTCTCATGTGAATAGAGGGCGGAGATCAAGAACTTGATCTGGCAGAGAAGGCTAGAATCCTAATTCCGAATGCATTATTAGGGAGGAAGCACCATTGTTTCCCATTCTTCCATTTAATGCACTCAGGGTCAAGCTGCACTTCACTGAAGTCATTTACAAAATGTAATTAATTCTTACAATATTGTGGAATAGGTACCTAGTTTCCCTCTGACTGGAACTTCAGAAGGGCTGTAAAAATGAACTCAGCTGTCAAGGTGTTAGTTACTCATGAAAGCACATACCCTGTCATAAATTTTGTTAATCTTTAAGGTGCTTCTGGACTCTTGGTCTTTTCAACTGACAAGGGACTGTGATGTCATCCCTCCTTTAGGGAACTCTAAATATTTCTTCTTTTCAAGCTTGTGATTGATAATAGCTTTTATCAAGTGGCCCATCAGTTGAGTACAACATAAATATTTAACATAGTTCCATTGGTTAATGGAATATTTCCCTATAAAAACTGTAATTCACACTGTGTCTGTACATCACATTGCAATGCAGTCATGTTAGCACTTCATTAACAAACCCTTTGGTAGGATCCTAGTATAATGTTTTGATTTAGAGGAAATCAGAGTTTGAATATGGTAGTTATCTCTACACAAGCCTCTCCTGTGCAGAAATTAATTTTTGCTGATGCAAGTATACATATGATCAGGAAGAGGACAGTCAGGTACAGGTCACTGTATTTTCAAAACTGTTAACTGGAAGAAAAATTCTAAGGGATATTTCCTGTACTGCATTGAATTAGATTATTCATGACGTGTTTTCACCTGATGACTGTTACTGTGATTCCATTATTAAGTTTCAGCATCTTTAGTTCTTTTTGCTTTAATTCAAGTCATGTAAAAATTTCTAAATTCAAAAAAAGTTTATCACTGTAGATAGTATTTGTTTAGGGCACCAGTGTTTAGAACCTCATTCCTCAATATGTTCATCAGAAATGCCTGCTTATTGCATCAGAGCAGCAGCATCAACTCAGACATCTGGATTTGGGACATAATATGAGCAAATTGGTACTCTTAAGTCTATAGTAAGATAAATGTCTAAAACAAATAGTGGTCTAGATGGCCTTTATGCAAATATGAAAGTGTACTTTGCTCAGTAGAATAATCCTGTTGTCTTCATGCACTTACATAACAGTACACAACGATGATATCAACAATGAGAAGATTGGGTGAAGACTTGTTTAAAGGCATTTCACCAAAAGGAAGTCAATATGTTTCTTCTGAACATGCTGCTGATCTTAAACTTAAGACAGCAACTTTCTTTAAGAGTGGAAGTGTACCATTAAGAGTTGTGTCAACATTAATTATAATCAAAACGGTGACACAGGGTAAGTTCAGCAAATATTTTGGATTTCAGTATCTTGTCTGTGGTGTCTCCAAAACATCCAGGAAGTACAAGAATGCCCTTATCTCAACTGAAGTAAGGAGGAAAGGGTAAGGGGGAGTGCTGAAGTACATTAAGATTCATTCTAAGGAATAAATGCCAGTTAACATCTGCTTTACAATGCTGTCATACCCAGAATAGGCATAACTATTTATGGATTGGATCCAAGATGCTGTTCTGCCAGCATGGTAGGCTGGAAGAGTGGTGGTGCTATTGGTGGAGGGGGGTGGGTGCTTTACAGGGGTCATTTCGTAGAAAAAGAGGTGCAGGAGCTCATTAGCATAACTCATTAGCATAACTTATTTGCATATGCCACAACCCCTGACATCACCGGAAGTGTGTCAGAAGGCAACACCCACTACAACTTTACCTGGCTGCTTCTCGTTCCTCATGGCCCAACCGAGGGCTGCTGGGAGCAGGGGGCGGGGCTTGTTGCATGTGCCCACCCCCGGGGCTCTTTACTGCCGGAGCTCCGCTCCTGTGCGCTCCTGCAGGAAATGACGCCTGGTGCTTTATACCAGTTCCCCACTCACACTGCAGTCCCTCGCTTTACTCCCCCCCCCCGCTCTTTATTTATTTTTATTTTATTTTTGGATTTATATCCCGCCCTCCCCGAAGGCTCAGGGCGGCTAACAACAAGGACCTTTATGGGGGTCCTCTGATCCTGGGAGCAGAATTTTGTGAAGCTCAGTGGGAAGGGAGAAGCAGAAAAGTACCATGCCATGAGTTTTGCTCCATTTCTGGTCCTTTGAATCCAGTCCTAGTTTTAACTGTAATTGGGATTTTATAATGCCTGTACTCGGAAAAAGTAGAGTGACGAGAGAGAGAGAATCCTGGGCACTTGGCAAGCAGTATGGTAGTTGGGGGAAAGTGACTAGAGATATTGGGGGGAAAGTGATGAGATCCACCAGCTTCACCCTGTGAACATTAATATTATGGTAGAAGCTGCTAAACAAAAGCTATTTAATGCTTTTTATTAGTACCACGAATTCCACAAGGTAGATCAAAAACAGGGGTGTATTGTAAACTACAAAATGAAAAACCACCTGGATCCACAACAGGAAAACTGTGACAAGCATACAATTAATAAATAATATTCAACATAACTTTTAAAAGTGTTTAAATGTGCAGAAAATTAAACAGTATAGTTGCAGAAATATAAGAAACATCAAAAAGAAGTTAACACACATGAAAAAATATAGATTGCCAGCCAAACCAGAAATACCGGCGCAGACGGTCAAGAGTCTGGGTGTGGTCCTGGATGCCTCCTTATCAATGGAGGCCCAGGTCACAAACGTTGCCAGGGTGGCATTTTCAACTCTGCCAGGTCAGGCAACTGGCCTGTCTCTCCCCGACCTAGCCACAGTAATTCATGCAACAGTCACCTCTAGACTTGATTACTGTAATTTGCTCTACACAGGGCTGCCCTTGAGGCTGATCAGAAAGTTACAACTGGTACAGAACACAGCAGCTCAGGTCCTTACCTGTGCTTCACCAGCTGCACTGGCTCTGGGTTGAAACCAGGTCATGTTCAAGGTTCTGTTTTTGACCTTTAAGGCCCTAACTGATCAGGGACCAATGTACCTACGGGACCGCCTGTCCTGGTATGCCCCCTGGGGAGCATTACGCTCAGGAGATCAACACCTACTGGAAGGGCCTGGTCCTGGCCTGGCTGTCCTCAATCAGAGCCAGGGCCTTTTCGGCCCTGGCTCTGACTTGGTGGAACTCTCTGCGTACTAGCATCAGGGCCATGTGGGACTTGTTACAATTCCGCAGGGCCGGCAGGGCAGAGATGTTCACCAAGCATATGGTTAAGAATAGCAACGGTTTTTTAACAACGGTTTTAACAGTAACCGGCCTATTAACTGCCTTCTCACCCCCTCTCTTGCCCCCCCTCCCCATGTTAATGTAAATTGGGGATTAGAAATTTTGTACTGTTGTGCCATGTAGGTGTTAGGTTTTATGGCTTTTATGGTATTTTAGATTGTTTTAATGTATTTTATATGAACTTGTACACCGCTCTGAGTCTGCTAGCGGGGAGGGTGGTATAGAAGCTTAATGAAATAAATAAATAAATGTTTAATTTTAGAACAGCCACCTCAGCTCTGTACCAAAATCAGCTGTATTAGTCTGCAGAAAGCCTATAAGCTCTCTTTATTTTCAGGGACACATTGAAACAATTAACAACATAAATAATTTGCTTAAATCACTCTTGTCTCCCTCAAAACAATAAATGTTAATACATGTAACTATAAAACTATATACATACACCATAGGTTCAAGTCAGATCCAACTGTACAGAAAGCCAGTTCAGAAGAAGTAGCCAAAAAAGCCTGTTGGCCCTGCTGTATGAAATGCAAAATAATATCAGCTGTCACTCAAATGAGTCAACTCTCTCTATAAGCAGCTGCAATTAACCCTTATCTTAAAGGAGCATGACCAACCAAAATAGTCTAGATAAATGAAAACAGATCCAGTCTATCATTCCATGCCTTGTGGCAGATGATGTCCAAGATATAAATCTAAAATGCTTCTCATTGGAGAAAGGTTTTATTGACAAATGACTTGCACGTGGGACTTATCAATAGCAAAAAAGGAGAACTCAGTAGGGCTATAGTTCTTCTGCAAAAAAACCCCAACATGAATCACTAAAGGTACCTCTGAAACCTTAAGCTTACTTTTGATGTTCAGAAATCCGGATTCTTAAAGGACGCGTGGTTTTGCATACATACAAAAACTGATATGGACAGATCAGAAAATAAATGACTTCTGTGGAGCTACGATAGGTGGGAAATGCCCCAGTTTAAAAGATCTGCCAATTACAGGGTGCATAACAGTGTGGAGCTGAAGTGTTTGAGAGCCATTTACACAATCTCCTAATCTAAAATGTTCAAATGCCCCAGAATTTATTATCAGCCTGGATGTTTAAAAAGAGGGAAAAGATGTTTCAGGGCTCTTAACCTTGCAGCCTCTTGTCTGCTTTGTGTATAGTCTATAGACTATCATCAAGAAATTTTGTAAATTTTAAGAAGAAAGAATATAATGTGAAATGTGACCATGAAATATAAAAAGAATCTATCAGATAATCCAGATTGATATGTAATTTAAAATAGTACATAGGCAGTGTTGTGCTTTAAAGTTACAGTACAGTAGGGGGCATCCTAACTAAGCCTTTGCACATTCAAAAATTACTATAGTTTATACAATACTTTAGCAAAGCTATCTGAAAATGTTAATCTGACTTTCTGCTAGTTGAAAGATATTCATAATAACGGTAACATATTTGAGATTTTTGGTAAAACAAACATATTTTTCTGAGAATACTGTTGAGCAATACACACACACAAAACTGGTGAAGGAAATCTTAACGCTAGGTCATGTGAAGTTAAATGTGGATTGAAGAGCTAGAAATGTATCTCTTAGTAAAATTTTTGTACCAGTATACACAATGTTTGTCAAAGATGGGGGGTTGACTTGCGCCAATAGCGTTAACAGTGCAATCCTATGAGGAGTTACTCCGGTCTTAAATCTGTTTATGTCAGTAGTCTTAGACTGGAATAATTGCACAGGATTGTACTGTTAGTCTGCTTGTGGGTGCACCCTTGGTCTTGTTTCATTGATATGTCAATCCATTGTAGTGCATACAAACAGCACTTCTTCTCAAAATATTTAATCAATATATCTCATTCTCAACATATCCAAATCTATGGATACTTAAATCCAGAGACTGGAGCCATGGACAGACAAGGCAGTTCTACAAACCTGAGGAAAGTCTTAGTTTCTGTCAGTAGAAGCTGGGTGGAGGGGGCAGGTTCTTTTCCAGGATTGTCTTGGTCTTTGAGGGAGGACTCATTGGGGCCAAACCCGGCAGCAACCACAGAACAACCTGATACAATGTGACTTGCACAACTTGTCCAGGCCCAGCTGCCTGCTAGAGTTCAATAGCAGCCATCCCATGAAAGCCAATGTGATGTAGTGGTTAGAGGTTTAGACTGGGAGACTCAGGTTCAAATCACCACTCTGTCATGGAACCTCACTGGGTGACCTTGGGCCAGTTACACTTTCTTAAGCCTACCTTAACTCAGAGGGTTGTTGTGAAGATAAAATAGGGGAAAGGAGAATGATGTAATGCTTTGGGTCCCCATTGTGGAGAAAGGCAGAGTATAGATGAAGTAAGTAATATAGCTGAAGCCAATAAAAGGTGGGGGGGGAGAGAGAATGAAGCTTGGAAAGGTGAGGGTATGGGAGTTGCCAGGAGGAGGGGGAAAGGAGGGCAAGTGTAGGGATGCGAATACAGAGGAAAGTGAGGTTCCCTATCACACAACTGAGCCCAGCCTAACCCAGTGGCTGGAGTCATGCAGTTTTTTTTGCCAGGGAAAGGGAATGAAGGAAAACTGAAGATGTAGGGGTGGCTGATAAAGGTAGGTTGGCTGATGAGTAGGAAGGAGAAACATAAGCAGGAAAAGGGGAGATGCTATATGGGCTTTTAGGGAAGGGAAATTTTTTTTTAGGGAAAGGGAAGCAGAAATGCTCCCCCATAAGTTCTTTGTGGGTCCCCCACTCATCAGTATCTTGATTCTGAACCTGACACTGGCTGTGAATGAACCATGAACAGACAAGATAGATCTTTCTACACACCTGAGGAAAGACCCAGGTTTTCAGAGAAATCTGAAATCTTTAAAAAAATATATTGAGGGGGTTAATCCTTCAAAATAATAGAAGCACCACCTGTTCTTTTAAGGTCTCAGTGGCTATTGGGCAGGTAGCTAAGCAACCACAATAACATTTCAGCCTTAATACCGGTTTGATTCAGAAAAGGGCAGGGGGTAGGAAAGGGACAGGGTTGTTTTGGCCTCCCAGTTCCAGCCCTGCTCCTCCTCCTGAAGGCAACTTACTTACCATGCAGTTTATCACACCCAGCTGCCACAGTGATTACCGGATAACTTGGTGCCACCCAACTTGCCTTGCAAGATTCGCGGCCTCCATACAACTTGTGTGACTTGGCTGGAACCAGAAGTGCCCAGCACACATCTCATCTGTGCAACTTGTTACCACATCACTTTTGCAATCTGACCAGATTTTTCTCAGGGAAAGGCTGACGGGGAAGCAAGGAGGGAAAACTGAGAGCCAGTATGGTTTAGTGGTTAAAATGTCAGACTAGGATTGGGGTGATTCAGATTCAAATCCCCACTCTATCATGGAAGCTTGTTGGGTGACCTTGGGCCAGTCACTCTCTCAGTCTAAATTACCTCAGGGGGTTGTTGTGAGGATAAATGCAGGAGAGGAGAGGATAAATGCAGGAGAGGAGAAAAAGACAGGCTATAAATGGAGTAATACCCGGGGGGGGGGGCAGAGAAAGGGGAGAGAATATGGGGGCTATCGGGAGGAAATAGCATAGGGAAGGCAATAATGAATAGTGACCCTCCACAAGTCCTTTCAGGTTCCCCTGAATAAACCAATCGTAGCAGCTTATTTATTGCTTCAGTAAGATGTTACAGATGTTAGCATTTAGACTTTTATAACTGCAGAGATTAAAGGTTAGACTAATCTTAAACTCCACACATAGCAGGAGTCTTTCAGGTTTGGGACTCAACAAAAATGCCAAGCAAGTTCTAGACTTTAATTTACCTTTGTATAAAATGGATGAGTTCTGTTTAATAATCCTGAGTATTATGAGTTTAATGTCTCAAATACATTTTGGTGAATTGACAACTGGACAATATTTTTAAAAACAATTTATGCTGATTTTTCAAGCTCTTTAAATATGTTCCGCAGTTATCATCTGTAGAAGCAAACGCAACAAATGCTTTATGGTACCTTAAGTACAAACATATATTGTGGTTTTTATGGAGTGGAGCCCACTTCATTAGTGCTATGAAGAAAAAAAAATGTAAACAGCAAAAGTAATCAATGCCTGCCACTAGACCTCTTGCATTTTATAGCCTTTTTGCTTTACTGTTTTTTTCTTGCATGTGCCATGAATATGCCATAAATAGTTCTGCTATAGTTGCTTGTTTGAGATGTGATTACTAACAGCAGTGTGTGTTTTTAATATCTACATTCTAATGTGCTTTCTAGCTGATTACTTGGCTCAAGCCTTTGATACACTTTGCATGGATCTGAAGACAGATGAAGGAAAGGCCTTGTTTCTGGACTATCAAGCAGTGCCTATTATACTGAGTCACATAAAAATATCAAGTAAAGGTCTGCTTTCCAGTGCCATTGACAGTTTACTGCAGATGACAACAGAATCCAGTAAGTGTGTTAAATTACAGTCATAATTCTAATACTTATGTAGTTAAGTTCCTTGCGATTATGAAATTGCATTTGTAAAATTGACACTTGGTCACCTGTTACAAACAAGCTTCCCTTCCATGAAACAAGCAGGAACTGTTAACTAACCCTTTTGTTGTTTGTTTTTTAGTTTAACATAGTTGCAGAAGGCATACTAGGGGGAGTGAGCGCCCATAACTTTTTTAGACTTTTTCAAAACTCATTTTGAAAAGGCTGAATGCTGTTTAACTTCTGTAATATTCTTATTGAAGAAGGAGTCAAAGTGGGGAAGAAACAGCACATACACACCTCTTTATATGAAAAGTAATACCCTGATTGTTGCATTGTTTATTTGGCTAAATGTAACACGAGTGGGACATGGCCCATAATCCCCCTTCTTCAAGTACCTCTGTCATATGAACTTGCGCTCTAAGAAACAGAGATAAGAACTGCTACTTCTAGATAATCTCACATGGTTTCATGAATGTAATCTTCTGGGAAGGATGGGGTCAGAGAACCAGAATATATCCATAGGGGCCCTGAGTACATAGGATCCAATTAATAGAACTGAGGGATTGAAGTATCTAACACCATGCTACAGGGCATTTCTCTCCCACCCACCACAATATAATTAGAATGTCTGCATGGGCTGCGGATTGCTTTAGTTAATTTAACCTGCTGGTGTATGAATGTTAATCACTGATCATTGTGTATAATTTCCTTACATATTAGGAATTCAGTAAACTTCCCTTGCTGGCGTACATAAACCTGCAAGGAAGAGTGTTTTTTGCGCAGAAAATTTCCCAGTACAATGCATCTTGCACAGCAATGAAATTGGTGAGATAATTAATTTGTTAATTATCTGGAAGAATCAGTGTTATTTTTCCTTCATTTTGGAGACTGTGTGCTTTTGGCTGCCATCTATTAGAAAAGATTTTCCTTCTGTCTCTAAGCTACCGTCTTTTGGTTGTACTTTTGCACAGAACTTAGCAACATCTTCAGATGTGCCTCCAGCCAGATATAATAATCATTCTGCATTAAAGGCTTGCAGTTAGTTGTACTAAAAGACTAAGAGAGCGCCATACATTCCTATGCAAACCATCCTGCTTGATCTTCCACTGAGATAAAGCACTGCTGAGCACTCATCCCACGCTTTCTGCCTAAGGTGATTATGCTGTTTCATCTTAACAAGGAAATATTGCTCCCTTTTATCTTAAGCCCCCTATGCACCAGTGTCAGGAGAACAGTTTTGCGCGCATCGTATGTTATTGGGAATGCTTTTTTTTAATGTCAGTTGCACAAAATGTCCAGAAGACAAGACCATTGGTTTAGAACCTTAGCGGAAACGCACATAAACAAGGATACCTGCAGTCAACTGGACATTACATACTTTTTGCTTTGCACATTGCCTGGGTTGGCTGGTGAATGTAAAAAAACAGATTTTTGATACTACGTTCATAGCACGGACTCTAATCTGGTAGAACCAGGCTTGAGTCCCCACTCCTCCACATGCAGCTGTTGGTGTGACCTTGGGTCAGTCATAAGTTCTTTCAGAGCTGTTCTCTCAGGAGCGGTTCTCGAAAGAGCTCTCTCAGCCCCACCTACCTCACAGGGTGTCTGTTGTGGGGAGGGAAAGGGATTGCAAGCCACTCTGAGACTCCTTCGAGTAGTGAAGGCCGGGGTATAAATCCGGTATCTTCCTCCTCTTCTTTCTTATCAAGTCACAGCCAGTTTATGGCAACCCTGTAGGTTTTCAAGACAAGAGACATTCAGAGGTGGATGCCATAGCTCTGCATAGCAACCCTGGTACTCCTTGGTAGTTTTCCATCCAAATATTGACCAAGGTTGACCCTGGTTAGCTTCCAGGATCTGAAGATCAGGCTAGGCTGGGCTGTCCAGGTGAGGACAACATGCACATAGGTAGCATGTTTACATAAAGTGTGTGCCTGAAACCTCATCCGCCTACACCTACAAAAACTATAATCTGTAAGGTGGATTTTAAGTTTTTAAGCAGCGGCTGGACAAACACTTGTCATGGATGCTCTAGGCTGATCCTGCTTTGAGAAGGGGGTTGGACTAGACAGCCTGTATGGCCCCTTCCAACTCTGTTATTCTAAGACTACATGAAAGACTATTTCTAAATAAACTATAATCAGTCCTATCTTTTGTAATGAAGAGGGTACACACACGGTAACAAAATTTTCCATGGCTTTTAATGCATTCTGTAATGATGATAGCTAGTTTACATAGGTCTATCAGTACGTATGGCACCTTACGGAGTAACAAGAAAGATAGGTTTGCATCCCAAGGGGATTAGTTTGAATTTCGACATTGGAGGAGGCAGATCAGAACTAATAAACCTTCAATTCAGTCACACCTACTAACTTTAATTAGGGAATGAAGTCCAATAGGGAGCTGAATTAAGAAAGAACTAACAAAGAGAATCACCATGAGCATTCCAGGCATAAAAAGGCTGCAAGGGCGAGAGGGCAAGCTTGTTCAAAGAAGCGTTCAATTCAGTCACACCTACTAACTTTAATAAGGGAATGAAGACCAATACTTTGTGAAAGAGGGAGTTGAATTAAGAAAGAACTAACAAAGAGGAATCTCCATGAGCGTTCCAGGCATTAAAAGGCTGCAAGGGCAAGAGGGCAAGCTTGTTCAAAGAAGCAGACATATCAAGGTGGTAGGCTGGAGGAGCAGAGGTCATGGGCTAGGATATGAGAGCAGAGAGAATTGAAGGTAGAGGCCATAAAGGGCCTTGAAAATGAGGATGAAGATTTTGTACTCTCAGTGGATGGACATTGGGGGGGTTAAGAAGAGATGTTCCATGGTATGAATGCCGGGTCTATTGAATGATCTTTATAGCAAGCTCTAGAAGAAGTGAGAGGGGAGAAGCAATAGAAGAAGAAAGAAGAGATCACACTGCTCATGCGGCAGCAGAAGACCAGGGAGATTGTATTAATCAAGGCAGAATGTAACTAGAATGTTTATGGAGGAAGCAGAGATGAATGATTGGATTTGTTTGTTTTTATAATGATTACATAAAGGTAAAAGGACATGACTTGATGACTGATGAATATGAACATCAAAGCAAAGGAAGGACCATCAGCATTTGACCACAGGATTGGATTAAGTCAAAAGATAGGGTGGACAGAGGGAAACCACTTGTCCCTATGGAAGCAATGCATGAGGCAAGGAGGCGAAACAGCCTGAGGATAAAACCTAGGACATGAAGGGAGTTAAGCAGGAGACAGTTGTGAACTGTATTAAATGCAGAAGATATGGCTAGTAGGATGAAGTTCTCATGAGTCAGCCAGGGCTCAACGATAGCAAGGACTCCTCAGAAGAGGAAGACCCCTTAGGAGGAGAAGAGTCACATGTAGCCATCCTTGAGTTAACAGAAGCTGATTAGCAGGAAAATGAGCTAAAGGCTTGTCAGGATTCACAACCAACAGCTGGTGCATAACCACCGACAGCCTCCAGCCCTGATTCAGCAGATGAACCTCAGTTGGCAATTCCCAGCCCACTGGTATCACTTACAGCCTTAAAGTGCCACAGATGGAGGCTGAGGGCAGAGCTACAGACAAGACGGCAAAGTGCATGCCTCCTGGCCCAACACCAGCTGCTTGCTGATAATGAAGATGAGTAGTTGCAGGATTCCTTTTGAGCAACCAGTTGCAAGCAAGGCCCTTAGGCATAGGGCTATAAAACCAGCCAAGAGAGGCAGTTGGGCATGGACACAACACACAGTAGACGCTAAACCACCAACTCTGCCTTGCCTGACTACTGGACTTCAAACCTTGGACTGAACAACTCTGCGTTGCCTGAATTCTGGCATCTTATACCTGAAGCCTGCAAGCTATTACAGAAGACTTGAGTAGAGACCATTAGCATTGCCCCTGAAAAGACAGTTTGTGGTCTTGATGAAGGCCATTTCTTTGGAGAGCAGAGGACAGAAGCCAGGTTGTTGGGGGATTGAGAGGAGGTAGTATAAAAGTTGACAGTGGATGTAACCAGCATCCTGAAGGAGTTTGACGATCGGGCTAGAAGGAAAATCGGATAGTAGTGGTAGGGGCAGAATAGTCCCAGGGATTTTGATGGGAGTGAAGAAGAATGGATCGAATGGTGGTTTATTTGAATTCAAGAGAGGGGTAAACATTAATAGGGTTGGGAAGTGGGAAAATAGCAAGAGAGGGGGTTACCTTGTAAGGTGGAGAGATTACATAGTAAAGGCTTGCATCCTTTTTGTAAAGCAGCCTGAGAGCTGGAGGAGGAGGAGAATATGTTCATAATTAGCAAGGTTAGCTAGTTCTCCAGAAGTTTTCATCTGAGCAAGAGCATGAACAGAGATGTGAATGAGAGGGGGCAAGTCATGGTTTAGATTAGAGGGGTATTTTTTGTTGTTGTTGAGAGAGAAGGACAAAAGAAAAATTAAGAGGTGACAACTGCAGTGTTTAAACTGTACAAAAATAATGTAAAAGGAAAGCATTTCTAAGAGACTGCAGTTTGTAGAACAAACAGGAACCAGAGCATTGGGGACTTTGGTATATGATGATCAGGGAAGGGTATGATCTGACAGAGGAACTGCAGGGCATTAGGTCAGAGACAGAACAGCTCTTAGAGAAGACACAATTGAGAGAGTGCACAACATAGTAAGTTGGAATGCTAGTCTAAAGTTGGAGTTCAAAAGTAAACATCAAGAAGAGGAGGTTAATGTTGGGATGACATCGGAGGAAGAAGCATTCCAAAGCATGAAGATCTGAAATGTAAATTCAGAAGGGCAGGAAGGCAAGATTCAGATGTGCTGACAAGCCCGTGTCTTCTCATTCTAAGGACAAACTTTGGTTCCATTGGCTTGTGTGCTCTCTTCTTCCACTCATGCACAGTTATCTAACTGAAGACTTCAAGTTTAACGGCAAACTATAGCCGTATGCTTTGTGTTTCCAGGATTACAAAACTGGATTGAATGGAAATCTTGG